ATATTTTGAGATTTTAGAAACGGGTCTGTATCTCCAAACCTATCATTTGTACACTGACCATGCGGAAAGTCAATGAAAAATGCTTCAGGTAGATTTTATTTACCATTTCTCATTCACCTATTATTTTCCCCCAAGGAGACTAAAGACTTTGTTATAGACTGAATGTGTCCCCCCAAAATTTGTATGTTTAAGTCCTAACCCCCAGTGTAGCTGTAGTTGAAGATGAGGACTCCAAGAAAGCAATTATGGTTAAATGAGGTCATAATGGTGGAGCCCTGATCCCAGAAGATTAGCATCCCTCTAAGAGGAGACAGGAGAGACACCTTGATCTCTCTGTATGCATGCACCAATGAAAGGCCATCTGCCCAGACAGCAAGAAAGCAGCTATCTACAGCCCAAGGGAGAGCCCTTGCCAGACACCAATGCTGCCGCTAGCACAAATCTTGGACTTCCAGTCTCAGAAAATAAATGTCTGCTATTTAAGCCTCCCATTCTATAGTATTCTTTTCTAAGACAGACTATATGAATAGTTTTTCTCTTTCAAAGTCATCTTCCTTTGTGTATTTACTACTGAAACATGTCAATTACCTAATAGACTTTCTGACAAAAGATGTTTGGTGACTAGACTACTTTGAAAAACAAAAACATAATATATTTTTCTTCTTTTTTTAATAAAATGTTTCAGATAGACAAACAGTCATATTAAATGATATATAAAAAACACTCATATACCTAACACCTGGTTTAAGAAATAAAATATTATAAATAAGCTGAAATTCCATGCACATACCTACTCATCTCACTACTTTTCGGTGCTTTTCCTATACAGAGGTATGTAACTATAACATTACAGAAGTATGCTCTGCAGGTTTTATACTTCATATAAAAACTACTTATAGGCTTTCTTTTGTAACTTGTTACTTGTTCTTTTAACGCTCAATATGCTTTTAAGATTTATCCACACATATGCTTTACTTCCTGCCTTTTAACTGTTACATAGTATCTCACTGAAGAACATACTAC